CTGGCCTGGGACGCCTCCTGCCTGCCACACGAAGCGCTGCGCAGCTGGCCCAATGTACATGTTAAGTCACTTTCACTTTTAACAAATTGTTAGCTTCTGATCTGCACAGTCTCTTTGCATCATATCCATAATACCTCATCAGACCATTGAGCACAGTGTGTGCTCGTGTGCAGTCCAGTAACAATTGGCTTCTGATTGCATACGAGTGCTGCTACAATGCACTCACTAGCACTATGCTGTGCTGGTCTCCTATGGAGTAATGTTCAAAATATCTGATCTTGTTTTTCCCCTTCCATGAGGTTGATTTTGGTTTGCAGTGCTGCATGAGCTTTTTAAAAAAGTTAACTAGGCCAAATTATTTTTTCTAGTAAGTGACTGTCGCTTTATGCTTAAATAATTCCACTGATCTCGTTGATATTTAAACTAAATTATCGGATGAAAGAATATTCCTATCTAAGTCAAATAGTATTTCTTTGGTTGATATCTGATCATGTTAAAAAAAATCACAAAACGATGCTGAATTAATGATGCTTCAAAAATAGGGTGGAAAAAATCACCATTCCAACTATCAACATGGACTGCCTCCCGGAACATTTTAGAGCTATTCTTTCTTTAAATATCATGCATTATTCATACTAACTCTAAACCACAAAAGCCCCCTCCCTGTAAGTTTAATACCAGTTGCTTTATTTGTACTAAAACATTTTTCATGTCAAACATATTTTAAAAAATCAAACTCTAAAAGAATTCCCTGGGGCACTCCTTTTTTCATAGCTGTCATGCTTCTATGCTATGAAATAGCTGATTTTTTTTAATAGTTTTTGGCTTGCTAGTTAATTTATTACTATCTCTACCACACCCTGTAGTACTCTCCAGCTCACCTGCTGGCTACAAACAGCTCTCTTTCTACTGCTGACAAGCTTATTTTTAAAGCGTTTCTAGCTTTGCTGCTGGTTTGAATCTGTATATCTAAATATAATCTTTGCAAAGCTATTTCTCCAGAACATATCATTGTATCAATATTAAAAGTAAAAATGAATATATTAGAGCAACAGAGATTATCACATAAAATAATTAGAAGAGAGAGAAAAAGGAAAAGTCAAGAGAGGGAGAAGATAAGGGTTAAGGAAAGAGGGGATTATAAAAGTAGAAGAGGAAAATATAAGAGGGAGAGGGATTTAGGGTGTTGGAAAGTTTAATTTTTTATAACAAAGTTACGTGCTCTCCCCAACCCCCTTTTGTTTCCTCTGTGTAAGAGTTGATCAAGAAAAAGTTCTCAGTGGCTGACTTGGCAAGGAATCAGTCAACATGTTGTAGCAATTTTTTTCAAATTTGTCTCTGAATTTGAAATGCTTGCGTGAGCACCCATTCTTTTAAATTTGTACAAAGGAAGATGAAGCCTGTTGGAACAGGTTGGCTTTAGGCACTGCCGTACTCTGGCTCCTGCCACCTCTAGTGTACGAAGACAACCTCCAAGAGATAGTCTGGAAAAGAATGCCCATTCTGCAAATCCATCTCTCCAGCCTTCTAGATTTTCCAACTGACTATTTTTACCTGAGGATTACAGTACAAATACAAAACAGGACTTAAAACCTATGGGACATTTGCCTAACATTCGTTTCACTTGTCACACTGGGTAACATTCCTTTGAAATCAAAGCAGTTCCACAGCAAGAGTCCCTGAATGACAGAAAGTACATTGTGTAATTTTCAAGGAAACTGAAATGAAGCCAAAACTTATTAAGACTTAAATACAGGAGGAGGGGGAACTAGGACTCAGTTTACCTCCTACAAGAATACTCATAGTTTGTGTAATTCAGATAGAAATTCCACTTTCATTAAAGAGACAAAAATCCCACAGGTAAAATTCTGCCCATTTAGTTTGATTCTTCAGAAAGACAAGGGACTGGGATGGTTGTGCTCTTCTGAGATATTCACTTCAGATATTAACCTATTAAGGAAATCATTTAAAGAGTTTGGGAGGAGTAGAGAAGAAAGATACATTAAACTGGGAGACAGGATTCAAAGATTCTTCAGTTAATTGGCTCAAAGTCTCACACCTTACTCTACACACTCCAAAACAGAAGAAAAATTCACTACACGACTCTAACTATCTCACAGATTAATTTGTGGTGGCATCATAGGTTTATGGCAAATTACTTGAGTTGCCAAATAACTTATATATAGATTCCATTTTTATAAGCTATCATCATTCTTGCTACAATATAGAAATAGTTCAATCACTATCATCAATGTAGACTTAGGCATACCACTTTGCATCTTGCCTGGATGTATGTATTCAGAGTAGCAAAATATTACACTTCCTCTATATTCTAAAAAATTGCCATCATCTATTTGAATTTATCTTTGTGAAACATGACATCACAGCAAAGGTTAGCAGGTAATGGGTGACACTTTTGGAATTCTAAAAATAGAACAAAACCTTCCATCTGTTCTGAGGACATTTGGGCAAAAAAATTTGGCAAGCATACTCTTATTTCTCCTGCTAAACTGCCCCTTCTCTGTTCATTAAAGAATAGACCAGTGATGGA